GATATTATCTATTTTTAATATTTTAATATTGTTTGTATTTTTTTTTTCTAATCCACCGATATTATCGATTTTTAATATTTTAATATTGCTTTTATTTTGGCCTTTTTCTTGTTAACTTTGCCTTGCCGTTGTTTTGTATTTTGCTGTTTTTTTACGCGAGGGCCCCATGATTGTCAGCTAACCGCTGTTTTGGGTTACCCCAGTGGTAAATAAAGTTTAATAAAAATAAAATAAAATAAATAAATTAACAGCATATGGCAATTGCATATAACTAGCTCTATCACATGTTTTGGTTTTACAGTAGCAGATCGGTTATTATTATATTAATATGTATGCAAGCGAAAATAATGGAAAATGGCAGCCATTTTAAATTGTAATAGCTCAAAATTGTCTACAATATTTAATTAACTGTTGTTGCCATTGTTATGAGTGGATTTCCAATTGAATACTGCATTTTAATGACATAAACTTACAATATTAGTGAAAAGATTAGGAAAAAATGGCGGCCATTTTGAAACTGCTGGCAACCCCCATTACGTATAAAAAAAGAATGTTGCACATACTTATTTGATTTATCAATGTCTACTCTACATCATATCCAATTTTTAAAAAATATAGCAAAAAAATGCAACCTCTGATATTGCTATATTTCGGACTGGACTAATCATACCACATAACGTCATGACGATTGTACATAATAGAGTGTTTCCACATAACCGAAGATACTAACGGCGTTCCATATAATACTGCTCAAATTGATATCTTTGCTGCTAGACTGCAGAGTATGCAGTGTACTATCAAATTAGTGGTGGTGGTGTGTGAGCCAAAAAGGGCGTTGATTTCGTCTTTTTTACCGCTTCTTCAAGGAAAAACATAGAAAGTAAGTGACTAGTTTATTATTTCTAATATTTTATTCTATAATCACATACTTATTTGTTAAATTTGGCAAATACAATCTATCGATTTTATACTTTGTATACAAAAGAGTCAACCTCAAGAGAGAGGCTCGTTGTTGTGTGTGAGTTCGTGCAGGAGTGAGTCACCGTACTTTGGCCAATTAAAGAACTACTGTAGGCCTAGGGTAGGTAGGCTAGGCCTACATTCGAATGAATAGGGCCTAAGGCTTAGACCCATACATAAGGCGGGACATAATAGAGCACATCGGACTAACAACATACTTGTTTTATATTTGTTAATACTAATACTTGACAAATGTTGATCACATTTCATTGATGATTGTAGTATTTGTACACAACAATAGCCAGACAGGGTAAGATTAGAAGCCTTCCTCCCTCCTCTACCTGTTTGTAGCATATAGGCCTAGACCAATACCTTTCAGTATTCTTTTTTTCTATTAATATAGGGCCTAACTTAGGTATTGCAAGTTGTCTTGGCTAGTCTAGTCTTAGTAGTGGTAGTATAGTCTATAGACCTACTATACTACTAGTACTAGGCGAGGCGGTGTAGGACCGGTTCGGCCGTGAACAAGTTCGGCCGGGATATGTTTGTAGGGAACGCCAAGTAGGCGCAAAGCTGTGTATGCTGTACGTGTGTGTGTGTGTGTTAACCTATTGGTGCTACAGTCCATTATTTCCTGTTTTTGTTAGGTCTTCTACGTTGCCAAATAATTAATGTGGTTTTAAGGAAATCCGGGCTTTATTATGCTACCATTAGCTTGCCAAAACAACAGTGGATTTTATTAAGTTTGTGTAATTCCCGTGGAAGTTAATAATTAATGATTTAGATGGCATATATTTCGTTTTATCTATTTAAAACAAACGAATGTATATTATATATGCAAGCATATTTTAATAATCGTGTTGTATTATCAGGTCTTTATGCTGTAAATTAATTAAAGTGATTTTAAGCAATTTAATGGCATTAATACTGCGAGGAGTTTGCGAACAAAACAGTGGATTTTATTAGGTTTGTGTAAGTTAATAAATGTTGTAAGATTCATATATTTCATTTTATCCTTGAAACAAACGAACAGTGGATTTTATTAGGTTTGTGTAAGTTAATAATAATGTTTTAAGATTCATAATATATTTCGGTTGATCTATTTGAAACAAACTAATTTATATGTTGATAATCAAACCTAAGGATTTTATTATTTTCATATTACAGAGTCGATGCATATATTGAAGAGGAAGAAGAATGTTGATAATATTAATATACAGTATTACTGCCAAATTTTATTATATTTTTCGTAATATTATTAAAGCTTACAGTATTTGATGCTTGATTGATTCGTTGTATATTATTTCTAGGCCTATACTTTTTTAAATGATTGATTGATTGATTGATTTAAAGCAGAAAGTATATAAACGCCACAAAATCACATTATTGATGCCCCGTCTGGCAGCACTCAAAATTTCCGACTGACGCTGACAGGCTGCCGACCGACACTGCTATTTTTTTCAATGATTTTGTGTATTATTTTAGAAAAAAAAACATGAAATACATCGCCCTAAAATCAAGAACTTTAACTGCAAACGCCCTTCATTGAGAAAATAACATAGAAATACACGTTTCCGTGGTTACGCTTGTATTATATAGGGCAAAACATGCCCATTCGTGCAGAGAACAAGTGTGCAGTGTCTGCCGATTGATGAATCACATACGAATTCACCAACTCATTAAAAGTTCAACCTGATTTAACGAGAAATAATACTGTTATAACACACAACAGAGTAATGATCATAATCAATGTCTGTATTATGCTTATGTAAAATAACTAATAGACAATAAAACAACACGTCGTATAGGCCATGGCCACAGACCCTACATTATAGGGTCTGTATAGGCGAACAACTCGGGGAACAACTACATTTCTGGACCATCGCACATGTTCGTACAGTTACCATGTACAGAGATCAAGCCAGTCGGCTATTTTCAGCATTTGACATTCTTTCCTTGTCTCCGATAACATTCCTGAATTGGCGGCGTACAAAGACTTCGCCTCCGATAACATTCTTTCTTGAATTGGCGGTGTCTTTATTCTCCCAAGAGTATCACTGGACCCGGCCTACTTGTGGGAACGTTTCCCACTGAATTAATTGTTACTAGGCAACTTAGTACTGGCAGCTTGATACCTATTTAAAACAATTTATTTCCATTTCATGCCTAGATTTAATTATTACTTCATAACCAATTAGTCACTTTTATCTGGAACGACGTATAATCGTCTTGCAATAGGTACGCTTGTTTAATCGTACATATATAATTATAATACAGGATTAATTAATTATATTATATACTTTCCAAGATACAAATCAAGTTTCTTGATAAGTTATAACAGCTATAGTTAAATTAAATTTCTTCCAAGCAATAACGTTTCAACTTAGAATATTTTGCAGGATAAAATAAATGTAAAACACTTCTTAACTAAAAATCTATTAAAACTACTCCGTAAAACAATCAATCTTAATAACAATGTACTAAATTACATATTTAAACGGTATTGTGTTCTTCTAAGTAGAAGTAAAAACAAACAAAACAACACATTTTTATTTATACTCTTTATTTCAGAAATTCGATTTTATTATGGATGATTTCCTTGTACACTATACCCCCTAACTTGTGGCCAACATTGCACTGTGATATCTAATTTACGCATTGATTACATGTACACTACTCGGCGTTCCATACAATAACCCTTATTTGGGCATTGAATATCTTACGGCCGAACAAGTGCACGGCCGAAGCGGACGTCATAGGGCGAGGCGGGTGACCCAGACGACGACTGGGCGCACAAGGCGATTGGGCCTATTTTCAGATGATTGGGTTGGCGCAACAACTAGTTTAGGCGATAGGGCCAACTTTCATTTGCAAATTTCTGATTTCATATTTTGCGTTCCAAATTTATTTAACATACACTACACTGGTATTATGAATCGTAATTAAAATGATGGATATTTATTCCAGTATATCAAGAAATACAAATGACAGTCATGGTACGTGCTGAAATGATTTTGCCTACTGACGATCGAGCCCACGAGACGATCAGGCCCAGGAAGATGGGGCCCATTTCCAGAATATCAGGCCATTTTCAAGACGGATCGGGCCCACTATCAAATTTGGCCTGATAATCCTGAAAATGCAGGATCCAGAAATGTCCAAAAGGGGGCCGGAAGGGGGACTGAAAGTTGGGCCGATTGAGACAACAGTGTTGTGGGGGTCCGGGGCATTCCCCCGTGAATATTTTGTGTTCTAGACGCCCGAACATAACATTTGAGGCATTCTGGGCTATCATTTTTTTCTTTTTCTCTCTTTTTTTTACCTCCCAAAAGGGGGGGCCAGGGCCGGGACGGCCCCTCCTAAATCCGCCCCTGAAATGGGCCTGATTGTCCTGGGCCCAATCGTCTTTTGGCGCTATCATCTGTAATTCCTACTAGGCCTAGCCAGCTACAGTCTACAGACAGGCTGGGTCAGGACACCACCGCAAAAATGAAAGCAATACTGACATTTCAGGCATATACTGTACCACTGGTATAGGACTCTTTCAGCTGTAATGTATGCAACACACTTTGTATTGTATGTTTTCAGTTAATTCATTGAGTGACTAATATATCCTAATACTGATAGTTATAATAAATATGCTTGAATTAAAAGTAATAAAAAAACTGTGGGAAAGGCAAACAACATGTTTTATTTTATTGTCAGTTCTTCACCAATGTAAGCCTAGGCCAGGCATAACATTCATAATGGTTTAACATACTTAAAATTCTCGCTGGTAAATTATGTGGTAAGCCTATTTAATTCAAGGATAGTGTATATTTTAATATACACTTTTTTTCCTGATTTTCTGGATGTTAAATACATCATGGCTGAACTGGCTGATGGCATTCTTACCACTTAATTAGAAAAGCAGAAAAACATTATTCTGTATAAAAAGAAAATGGCTTTAGACATTTAACCTTGCTAGTTATTGTACAGTACCTGTTGACAGTACCAATTCCTTCGTAAAGAACATCAGGTCATTGTTGACCAACTTTTCAGTTGGTTATATGTACTGTAAAACAGCGTAAGAATACAGTATTAGTAAAAAAATGTATTAAGTGGAGATTATAAAAATTTTAATTTGACTTAACTAATTTAATTTTCTTTAAATTAAATTAAAAACTTCTAGGGTAGAGCTTGATGTATGATATTCTTCATGGGTACAGATGTGATTGAGTTAATATTGGAAAAAATTAAATACAGACAGGCCCAGATTTGCAGATTTGGCAATGTCAAAGGCAGATGTCTTGCTTATTTTCATCACAACTGGGTATAAGGTGTCATGTTTCCTGGAGATGACAACCCGAATGATATTCTTACAGAACAAACTGTACAAAGTTGTCGAGGCTCCACAATCAAAACTTACATCTGGAATAAGAAGTAAAATGCTGATAGCACTAAAGTTCAGAGGCAGTTTGAGAGGAGGAACTAAAACATGAGCTCCCTCGCAAACATAAGCATAAATAGGGCACTAGGGACCTGTTCGAAAAAAGCGATTAAAAACATGCAAACACGCGTGTTTGAACGGCAAATAACTCATTTTGGCCGTGCACTTTTTAGCTGCAATAAAAGTGATTATCAGATGAAATGTGACCACCAGGTCAAATCACTGAAAAGCTACCGTAGATCGTATCACGCACAAACTTTCAAAATAATTAGTCCTCTTGTTCATGTCTTAGGTCTACAAGCTGAAACATCAAACATGTAGAATTCATGTGTAGTATATTGTCTAGTTGGTGAGAAGGAAACTATACGGTTTGGAGAATGTGTTGTATAAACAAAATGGTGAGGTAATTTCCGCCACGAAAACCCATTTTATTAAAAGTAAAAATGCAGTTGCAATGCGGGCATGCTCTCTGGCACTCATTAAAAAAGCGG